CCAAGGACACCAGCTAATGTTTCAGGGCCTCAGTTTACATGTCTGCAAAAACAGTACAGTAGCGGCAATATTCCCCAGCCCTGATGCCACTCCAACGGTGCAGCGAGCCGATCCGGAGAAGACCTGAGCCTTGTTTAATGAGGTGCCGACACTGATGGGGTCCATGCAGCAGCCCCGAGAGCCCGCTGCTCCCCAGAGCTCTGGCCACACTGCGAGTCCGCCTGAAGGCTCTCGGGGGCCTCGGGTTTGGATGCCCTTCTGTGGTCCCCAATCACCCATGTGTCAAAGGCTTGGTCCCAGGCAGGGGGTTCCCTTGGAAGGGCAGAGCCAGGGGCTAAGCAGAACTTTTCTCATCATAAGGCAGCTGCCTGGGGACCCAGTGTGGCCAGGCAGAGCTGATGGATCCGTCCAGTAGGGTGACTTCCTGTCGCCTTTCTGAGTGTCCTCTGTGAGCCTCTCAGGGTGAGAATTCTGTCCAGGGCCTGTGTCCACCTCCACACTCCTCGCCTGCACGACAGCCTTGGCGATGAACTTCACAGGCCGCAGCTGGTTCTTCAGGGGTTCGCGTGCTGGCACTGTCGTGAGTGAAGCTGCAGCAGGGCCCTAGTAGGAGTCACTGCTCGGACTTGCTTCCTTTCTTCTGGGAAAAACCCAGGCACGTACATTTTGAACTTTCTAGAGAACGGCCAAACTGTTTTCCAAAGAAAATGTGCAGCATTTCATGTGCCAGCAGCGAGGTCTGAGGGTGGGACCTCCCTCCTCCCGAGCAGCATGTGCTGTGGCCTTCAGTCATGGCGTCCCTCCCCTCACACTCGCCGTGGGTGGCACCATTCCCTGTGCGCACTGGCGACAGTTTTCCTATCTTCCTTGCTCACATACCTGCTTACATCTCAACCCCCAGGGAAGTTTTAAGGCTGGGTTATCAATGTCACAGGATTGGCATTTAGCAGATGCTAAATACAAGAGACTATTTTTAGTGTCGTAATTTTTAAGCGCTTAGAGATAAAAGCTGCACGATTCTACAGAGGGCCCACAAAGTCCATTTGTAAGAACCTGTCCTAAATCAGCATCCCAGAGAACAGCAGGGGGAGGAGAGAGAGCGGAGCGCTAGATGGGGTTGAGCAGGAATGAGAGCCCAGGGTTCGAGCTCTGGGCGGTTGGTTTTCAGGGCCAGGTTGGGGGCGGAGGAGTTCGTTCCTCAGGCTTTGTCACCGGCTGCCGCCTCCCAGAGGCCTGTGCGGCCTGTAGACTTGGGGCTGGGCAGGGGCTTGGCATGAAGGCTTGGAGGCCACAGCCCCGCAGCAGCGCTGCACAGCGAGCATGCCTCCTCCAGCCTCCTCCACTGCAGCCCCACAGTCTCTTCCCAAGGTGGGTGGCCAAGGCCTCGGGAGGAGGTCAAACCAGCTCTCCAGGCCCAAATGACCTCTGGAAGAAAGTTTTATAGGCACATTTATTTTATTTACTTCCTTTTTTTCGAGGCTGGGGGACAGGGTCTCACTTTGTAGTTCAGGCTGGCCTTGAACCCACAGTGATTCCTCCTGCTTCGGCCTCCTGGGTGTGAGATTACGGGTTTGATTGATAACATTTTTAAACTTACACATTCACTGTCTCTTCCGATCATGCTGCGAGCTGACCTGACTCAGCCCAGAGTACAGGCAGACTCCGGTCAGGAAGGGGACAGGCATTGCTGTATCTCCCTGCCCGCCCCACTGGACACAGCTGCCCCAGACCCTGGCCTGCATCTGCCTTCAGCAAGGAGCTCAGAGTGGAGCTGGGCCACTGGCAGCATGGAACTGAGCCGTGAGCCCAGGGGACTCAGGCCTGGCGCTTAGGCATCCAGGCTGCCCTGCTCCAGCAAAGGCCTGCGGAGTGGAGGAGCGGGACACCAGGGCGCGTGGAGGATGCTCAAGCCCAGGGGACCCTGACTGACCCCGCCTGGGCCTTTCCAGCCCAGTGCCAGCCGACCATCGCTTGTGCTGCTATGGGAAAGGCTCCTGCAGCCTGGTGTGCTATCAGGCTTGCAGCTCCGTCACACCTCAGTGGTGCCCCTGCCTGGCCTTCTGCCTGTCTGAGTCGAGTCTCTCAGGGTCTCCATCTGGGACCAGCGCCAAACCTTGGCTTGAGACCCCGCCCTGCCCCTCGCCGGCCCGGTCTTCCCCGCAGCTTGAGCAAGAGGGGCCTGGGGCTGGGTTCAGTCCATGTCCCACAGCAGAGTGCCTGCGCGCATCACTCAAGAGCCCAGCTCCCACCTGCAGGGCCGCAACCTCGGAGCTCTCCCACAGAGAAGGCTGTTCCCGCTTCTCGGGAGGCAGACCCATGTCTGTGGCTTGGGCAGTGGGCTGCCAGCGAAAGCCACCACGGGGGACCAGGAAGCCTCCGCGTCTGCACTGCGTCCAGCTCCCAGCTGTGCGTCTCTAACAGAGCTGCTCACCCTCAAGCAGAGGATCCAGCACGCACAGGGCACTGACTCTACACCCTCAGCATCACAACTCCTTCTCAGAAACTTACTTTCTTTCTCTTTCTCTCTCTCTCTCTCTCTTTTTTTTTTGTACCGGGGATCGAACTCAGGACCTTGCTCTTGTGAGGCAGGCGGCAGAACCACTGAGCTAGCTCCCTGGCCCATCAGGCTTTTCACTTGGACCTTCACGCAGGGCCTCGTGGGAGCGGAGCAGTCTCAGGATGGGGTAGCAGCCGGGTCCCCACTTGGCACTGATTTGCAAGGGGCCAGGAGGGTGCTCTTTGGAACAAGGTTTGAGAACCACACAATCCACAGACTGAATGAATTGCGGCAACCTCAGCCTGGTGGCTACGGCTGCCACCACAGCTACGGCCACCACCACAGCACCGCAGCAGCCAATGTCCCCAGCGCTCTCTCCCTGCCCAGACAGCACTGGACTTCTGCATCCTGAATGTCAGGAGTCAGCAGAGTGCCCTCATCCCTGCTGCATCAGCTGAGTAGCTGTGTGACTCCGAAAAAGTCAGCTAACCTCTCTCTGGGCCGCCAAGTCTTCATCTGAGAATCAGACTAGACAGAGGGCCAACCAGGTCCCTGGAAATAAGCTTGGCATAGCAGAGGGCAGGGGTAGGAGCCGCTTTCACCCTGCCCAGGTCACATCTGATCTTCCTGGCACTTCCTGTCTCACGCACATCAGGGCTAAGACTCAGAGAAGTGAAGTCAGCAATGTTTGGCCACACAGCCCCTCAGGGATGCAGGGGGACGACCTGAACTCAGGGCTGCTCAAGACCCAGCCAGAACAGCTTTGCTCTTGGGTCCCTGTCAGAGCAATTTGCTTGGAGATGCCCAAGCCCAAGGAAGGGCAACGGAACACTGGAGAGTAGAGAACAAGTTGATTTCTGCCCCTCTGCGGAGGGGGCCTTGTGCCTTTGCACAGTGCACAAGCTGCACAACCTTACAAGAACGCCCTGACTACAGCCTCAGGGTTTGGTGGGGAGAAGTGCAGAGGGCGAGTCTGGCTGGACCAGAGACAAAGCATAGTCACAGCCTGGCCTGGATGCATGTGGGGCCCTGCCTGAGGGCCGGGTGGGACGCAGCGCAATCAGGAAGCAAATGCAAACCATTCAGTGGCTTTATCTCTTTATGTCTCTTTCTCTCCGCACCGAGGGTGGTAATGAAAGGCAGCCGCTTGCTCTCCCCAGGAGCTGAACTGGAGCCAGATCGCCCTGCTGCCCGGGGCCCTCAGAGCCCCAGTGCCCAGCAACGGAAGAAGCTCGGCATCACAATGTGCCAGCCCTCGCTGACCCCGACCCCGACCCCAGGTCGTCCCCAGCCCACCCACCCGGCAGCCCCAGGCCCTGCAACCACAGAGGCCCCACCAGCTGCAAGGGGCAGTTCACACTGAGGATCCCTGCACGGCGCTGCACTGAGAGCCACCGGGCCTCAGTCTGGCTCTGCACCCTGCAAGCCGTCATGGCGAACGAGCCGGGAGTGTGAGGCAGACGTGTGTGGCCAGGCAAGAGAGGGCCACGGTGGGGATGTGTGGGGCTGGGCTTCGGCGTCCTGGGAAGGTGGAGGATCGGGCATGGGGGGACCCAGGGCTGGGGACATGGGTGAGGCAGACCGGGGGCCTCTGCGTCCACCTTGGAATCCTCTGTGAAGGGGATGCTCTGCAGCCTGGACCCCGTTCCGGGAAGGATGGGGCTCGGGAAAGGTGGGTGAAGGGCGGGAGCGGCAGAATGGACAGAGGCCTGTTGGAACCACTCCGGGGACCCTGTCATGCGGGTCACGACAGTGCCTCCACCCAGACTCACCGGCGGCCACTCAGAGTGGGCCTGGGGACAGCACTGTGACCATGGGGCCCATAAAACGCAGTGCTGCCCCCCTGGCAGGACAGGAAGAAGGGCAGGGCGAGCATGGACAGGGGATGGGAGGCTGAGGTTTACCTGGAACCCAACACCGGCCTCACAGGTAAAGTCTGCTGGCAACAGGAAGCCAGGAAGTGGGCAGCATGGCTTCTCTCCGCCCTGGACGAGCGACAGGGCTGTGAGGAGACAGCGTGAGAGCAGTGTGGCCTGGAGCCTCCTGCTCACAGGGCTCCACAGGACGTGGCGCTGAGGCGGGACAAGGGCCCTTTGTGTGGGACGGTGAGTGTGGAGGCGGCATCTGTGCGGCCGCTGTGTACTGGCACAGGCAATGAACCCATGAAAGCCTCCTTGTTTCCCGGCAGAAGAGAGGCGAGCACTGGGCGCAGGCTCAGCCAGGCTCTGGCCTGGGCACGAGAGGCCGAAAACCCCGGGCAGGTGCTGCCGAGCTAGGGCCCACGTGAACGAGCTTATGGTGTGCTCTGCCCACCCTTGGATGCTGCTCTGATGGCCAGCGTGCTTCTGGGGAAACTGGGGCACAGGACAGTTCTCCCACTCCCCGCGGAAATGACAGTGCAGACATAAGAGGGAGAAGCCCGAGGCCCCAGGGACCTGGGGTGAGCACGTGTGGACCAGCCTTGCGGGCAGCAGCCGGAAGGAGCCTGACACCCGGTGACTGCAGGCACATGGTGCATCGCCCAGGGACTTGAGTTCCACCTGTAACCCAGGAAGTAACAGGCTGCACCACGCACAGCTGTGCTGAGGAATAAGCGAGAAAGCAGGTACTCTCTGGTCTCCCACAGGGCCCGGGAAGAGCCCGGTGTGCAATGGAAACGGGCAGCTCACAGGTGTCTAGGGGTGAACTCAGCAATGGGTGGGCCACGCCCAGCTCCCAGCCGGGCGTCGGCCTGGACTGTGATGACGGGAGGAGCCTCCCCACACACAGGGAAGGTGGGCTCCAAGGCAAACATTAGAAAGCAACCTGTAAGAATGAGTTGTCCACTCAGCCCGCCGGGACAGCTGCCATTCTGGGCGCGAGGGGTGGCAGTGTCCACGGGATGGAGGTCCTGCAGGATGGGGGTCCCAGGGAGGACGCGACAGCTGCCTCTCGGGACACAGGTGCAGGAGCAGAGCCAGTGCTGCACGCATGGGGCTGGGGATGCAGTGGGGGAGAGCCAGGATCTCCACAAAAAGGCTGGGGTCGGGGGCAGCAGGGCTCTGACCTAATGGGTCTGGCGTGGATGGGCAGCGATGGGCGGAGGTGAGCAGGAAGCTGGCGCCTGCACCCACAGGGCCCGCAGACTGCCATGCCCGAGACAGGGCGTGACCATGCTCCTGGTGTCGGGCATCCTTTGAGAGGAGTTCCCTGGCTGCTGGAGGACGGCGGAAGGGAGCGCCTCGCCGCCCCTCCATCACGCACGCGTTATCCTTAAACCCAGCTCTGCCTTGTGTTGGCCTGGACACTGGGATGTGGCAGGAGATATGCAGGCTGCTCTGGCCTGCACTGTACGACGCCTGCGTCTCCAGACCTTCTGTCACTCGGCCCCTTCTAGCCCCACTGCCAGAGCAGGAGCCGGCTGCCCCGAGACTGTGGCCGAGAGGAGGCCCCATCGCCAAGAAGGGGGCAGCACCTGGAGGAGGCCAGCCCAGGCCGGTGCTGCGGAAGCCCAGCAGATCACCCTGCGCATGCCTGCGTGGAACACGGTGCCACCAGATGAGCTCTAACTCCAGACCCTGATTCTGAAGCCAATGAAATGGCTGTGGGTGTAGCACACGGGGATCTGGGGTCACTCGTCACACAGCGATGAGTAGCTGAGACGCACGGGAGAGGGTGCTGCAGAAACGTCAGTGGGAGGGGAGCAGATCGGGACAGAGCTCGCAAGGGACCCATCCTGCACAGCGGCGTGGACGCCTGCGCAACACTGGCAGGCGGCACCAGCAGCACAGACGTCTCGTCCCCACTCGGTCGCTGGCCCCTTGGAGAGCGCCTGTTCTGAGGGCGGGCTGATGGGGCCAGGGTGGGCTGTACCATCAGACACTTCGCGGCCATTGGGATAAACTCTGAGGCCAAGGGGTGGTTTCCAGAATGCCAGGAAACAGGCCGAACGGCAGGAGCAATATATTGCTGGAGCTCAGCAGACTCTCTGGAGGCGGTGGGCCGTCTCAGGAAAGTACAGCAGCTTCGCAAACTGCTCGTGGGCCCCAGCCCTGGACTGGGTCTCTTCACCAGATGCCTGGGGTGGGGACCCCGGAAGTCCTTCATACCCAGACTCATCATGGGTGGGAGGGCAAAGCCAGGGCAGGGGGATCTGGGAACATCACATCCTCACAGGGGCGGAGGAGCAGCAGGGAGAGGGACCCGTGACTGCGGTCACCCGACCCCAGGTACGGGTACGGGGTCTGTCAGAGCTGGAGAAGGGTCCCTGCAGTGCTCTCCGTGGGGACCAGGTTGCCTGCCTCCCAGAGGCCCGGGCAGCTGGGCCAGGACGTTCAGGGACAAGAAAGGACAGATGCTAGCCAAAGGGCCAGGGACCTGGTGAGAAGCGGCCACAAAGGAGCTGACAGGGAGCGGTTGGCCAGGACCCCAGGCCCTTCCCACCCCTTCCCATTCCTGGGACGCCGGGGCTCTGGGGCCTGGAGCTGGTGCTCTCCCTCCTGGGAGCTGGGCTGGCCTTTGGCTGGATGCTCTCTGTCCTAGCCAACTGCCGCTATTCCTACCCCCACCTAGCCAGGCCCCGGGTCTTGTGGTGGTTGGGGCAGAGGCTGGGCCGGGAGTCCCCTCCACTGTGGAAGGTTGGGCCTAAGAGCACCCTTCCTCTCCCAGTCCACTGCGAGCTCTGTCCAGGCCTCTTGTGTGAAGTCAGCCGGTCTCCAAGGCCCACAGGGAGACCCGGGCCTCGTGCCAGGTGCTGGGCGCTGACTTGGAAAAACTGCTCTTCACCTCCGGGAGGCACAGCCCGGGAGACTCGGGAAACAGCAACCGCCTGCCAGTGGGTTCCGGTGTGGAAGGCGAGACACTGAGGACCCGGGGCTGGAACAGGCACACAGCAGATGATCTGGCCCTGGGCCTCTGCCCAGCACATGAAGTTCCTCGCAGTGCCCTGATGGGCATCCACGCTGCAGCCCGATTCCCCACACCATGTGCAACCGTCAGTCACGGAGCAGCGATGCAGGCTGGCAGAAAAATGCACCACTGTGCCTAGACAGGGGCACAGCTGGCTCTGGTGGCTTCTCTGAAGAGGGGACACTGGTAGGGAGTGTGTCCAGCACTTCCCTGTGCCAGTGGCCTGCACTGCTCAGTGGTCCTTCCCGCGTGACACATTTTGAAGGCACAGTTTGCCCATCTGCACACTGGGGACATGGAGAACTCTGGGGGGCTCTGCTGGCTCCGGGTCACAGCCATGTGATAAGATCTGCGTCCTCCGCCATGAAGCTCCCTCTTCCCTCCTGCATCTTCCCTGTGCTCTGTCAGCCTGGCAGGGCCAGGAGGCTAATGGGGTGGGGTCGGCTCGGGGCACCTGACCCTGCTCCCCTGTCCCCTGCAGCCACTCAGAGCCAGGTCCATCTGCTCTGCTGCTGAGCAGCATGAGGTGACAGCGCTGGGCTCTGAGGCTGCGGTTCCTCAGTGCTGCCCAGTGTGGGCCTGGACTGGGGCCTCCTCAGCGCTGCCTCCTGGGCATTCTCATCCGTGGCTTTGCTGGCGTGTTTCCTGCCCATTTCTCAGCGAGCATGTGGCCATGTCTTTCATCACCCAAGGCTGTGGATCCAGGCCCAAGTTTGAGCCCAGCACGGCCCCACCACCCCTGACGTGTGGGTCCCCCATAGCCTGGCCGCCTGCTGAGCTAACTAGAACTTGCCTCTCTATGGAACCTGGCTGCTTCCGGTCTGCGTGCTGGACAGAGAGCAGTGTGAGGGGCACCGGTTTCACTGTCCAAGTCTGATGGTTTCAGCAGCGTGTGTGCAGGGCTCTGCCATTTCTGAGGTTCTGTGGGGCCTGAGCTTGGAGCAGCCCTGGGTTTGTGCACAGATGGTTTGTCTTTCTGACTCCATGCTTCCAACATCGCTCAGAGCAGGAGGCTGCAGGGCAGAGCCAGCAGCGGGTGCGGAGACACGGTGTACGGGACCCTGTCCTCCCTGGCTGCAGCTTACGCCCACAGGTCCTGTGCAGGCTGGGAGGAAGCCCCTGCTGGATGGTGTCTGCGTGCAGGTCTTGTTTTGCTCGGAGTACAAGGTGAGGAAGTGCATGAGGAGACACCATGGAGCCCAGACCGTGTCAAAACAGGACTGTGATGTCTAACCGCGTTATCACAAGGCCCGAGGTAACTACAGTTTTATGTGAGGCTGTGGAACAAAGCTTCCGGCTGTGCGGCGTTCTGCCTGTGTGTGGTGTCGACTCCAGAGGTCTGGGACTCGGGAGCATCTCAGAGCTTGGTTTTTGCGTCAGGGCAGCTCCACGTGTAGCTGTCTCTCCCTCCCCTGTCCCTTCACTCCCATGGCTTCCGGCTGCTGTGAGGCTCTGCCACGCCTTCCTCTGGGTGTGGCTGCTTATCAGTTCCCTCCTGAGGCCACCTCTGCACCTCACCGCGCCCCCCCCCAGGCCGCCCATGAGCTGCAGCCGCGTGTCAGAGACGGTTCCGGGATACAGAGGTCCTCAATGAGCATCTGCGGAGTGAATGCACAAACTCAGCACGCAGCTTGCTGTGGCTCAGAGGCGGCTTCTCTGGCCGCGCTGTGCAGACGGCGGCTAGAGACCTGCTGCAGCTCGGACGGTTGTCCCCAGACCCTGGCTAGGGTCGGTCCCTGCATGACTGCCCTGGGGGTGAAGCTCACAGTGCAGCACAGCAGAAGGAAGCCAGGTGGCCAGGCCACGGCCCCTCCTGATGTTCTGCTTCCAGCTGTGGGGGCCCCTCCAGTGCCGCCATGCTCCAGGCCCTGCACCGAACTGCAAGCTGGGGCAAACCTGTCCTCTTCCCGTCCTCACACCCAGGCCTTCTGCCCAGACACGGACCTCCACTTCCGCTGAGCCCTGTACGCAGATGCAGGGTCCATGAGGGTCAGGTGTGGGGTGCCACTGGGTGGGCACGGGTTCGAGGAATCAGATGCCCAGGAACACATGGCATCAGTCAGAGACCTGGCTTCGGGCCGGAGTGCTGCCACTCCTAGGTGTGACTTGGGCTCAGCTGCTCTGACTTAGTTTCTCCCTCTGTGAAACGGGCTCCACACATCGTGTAAGGGCCTCTGCCACAACTTGCCCACCTTCACTGCTCTTTGAGTGGTAGTGATCGCTGACCCTGGGAACCAGTGAGTGTTCTGGAGCAGGAGCTACCCTCAGTCACATGACTGCCGGTCCTGGATGCTGCCCAGGAAGTCGGCTCCACGGGGCCAGACACAGCACCCTCTGCCATGAGACATCCTGCTGGGCTGTGAGGATGAGGTCAGCGTGACATGCGGCACTCGGCACAGGCCGGGCACAGGGGCCGTGAGCCATGGGGACGAGCTTGAGCATTCCCTGCCCACGTGCAGATGTTGGGGTCCTCTCCAGGGTTTTCTTCCCAGGGGCTGTGGGCTGCAGCTCTTGGGTATGGCCCCGGGCAGGGAGCTCACTCCCTGGGACAGTGGCTCAGACCTGAAGCCATGCCCAGCTGGGAGGCCAAGGTGCCCATGGGGCTCAAGGCTGTAAACTGGGTGTGTGCACTCCTCAGCCAGAGCCGGGCGACAGGGTTGCGGAGGGAGAGCTAAGTGCTCGGAATGGCCTCTGCACATGGGACTGAGATAAAAACGTTTGTTAAATAATAAGAACACATGAATGTTTTATGTGTGATCTAAACTGGCTTAAACTAAAAGAGTTTTTGGTTGGCACTGGGGATGTGTGTGGCCCAGAGGCGTGAGTGACCACGCCAGTTGCCGCCTTCCTCTCCTGCCAGCTTCTCTTTGGCGCCATCTGAAGCGGCGTGTCCTCCCAGGAGTCAGAGGCCACCGTGGCTCCACACCCGGATAAACTCGCTGCCTCCACCAGGGGTCCGGCAGAGGGCTCCCAAGGGTCCCCTGCTCAGTCTGGATCCCCAGGGATAGTCTGGGTGGGAGGGCTGGGCACCAGAGAGGAGCCAGGCAGTGGCCGCTCCACCCAGTCCTGGCTCCTGTGTGGAGTGTGGAGGCCAGCATGAGTGACAGACACAGGTTCCGCTCTGCCATCTCTGTGAGTCGTAAAAGCACGGCCAGGGGTGTCGCACCCAAGCTCCAAGGCCCAAGGGGAGTGGTGCAATTCCCAGGCCACAGCCCAAGGACAGAGAGGTGCTGGTGTGAGCCACAGAGTGCGTGTCCCAGAGCAGGAGAACATGGGTCCGGGGCAGAGGTGGCCCTTCATCCACGACATCCCCGCTGGGTGGCCTGGAGTGGATGCACTGATGCTGGAGATCTTCACGGAGCCTGTGGAGCCCACACGATCTCTCACAGGGGCGCCTGAGCCATGGCTGGTGCTGTTCCACTGAGCCGAGCTGGTGGGTGGGATTCACAGTTTCCATCTCCTAGGCCTTGCTCAAGCGCAAGCTTAAAAACGCTCAGAGCCTCCAGGGCTCTGCCTTGGGGTCTTGGAAGGAAGATTCTGGGAGCCCAGAGCTCTGCTCACCACTGCCAGGCCACCGGGGCTCTGATTAGCTGAGGAGCAGCGCCCGGGGTGCCAGGGCCAGCTGCTCCCTGAGGCTGGATGGCCTGGCTGGGGCAGACAAACCGCAGTGGCCTCCGGGTCCCTGAAAAAGAGCCTTGGCAATCTCTGCAATGGTCTTCACGGACTCGGGTGTAGGCCTCCCCTGTGGCGTCCCCAGCACTGGGCGCACATCTGCCTCCCTGATGCTCACGCCAAGGCTGCAGACCAAAGACATGGACTTCTCTGGAGAAACATCACAGGAGAGTCAGGCTCCTGGGCCCGTCTGGAGCTGTGCTGGGCCGGAACCCAGGCTTCAGTGAGATCTCTGCACAGAAACAGGCCCGGGACTCAGCAGCCTGCTCTGCGGGGCTCCCCGCCTTCGCTGCCCCTGCCCCTGCTGGCCGGCATGGAGGACCTGGGGAGGGTGCCTCCCCTCAGTTGCTCACGGCAGTCACCCGGAGTCCTGGAGCAGGGTACCCACATCCTGGCTCAGAGCGCTGCCTGGCACAGGGGAATTAGCGCAGAGTCCAGGAGATCCGCTCTGCAGCCAACTGACAGCTAAGGGCACAGAGGCACCATTTCGTCGTGTGACCAAGGCAGGCGGCTCAGTCCCTCTCCAAAGAAGATAAGGGACATAGTATATTATTAATCATTAGTTTATGTTATTAATATATTATTTAAATATTATTTCTTAGTAAATGAATCCTTTATCCAACAAACCACTACCTTGCCTTACATCGACATCACCTGGAAGTTTCTTTCTCCCTTTTATTAACATAGCTGCAGGACCATTCTTTCACGCAGTAGTTTTGTGTCGTATTTTCCCATCCTTTGACTTTTTTGTGTTGCTATGTGGATTTTTTTTTTGACACAGGGTGCTGGCATTATTGGCAGGTGCCAGCACATCCAGCTTGATTTTTAAACTTTTTATATTCTTATGTTTTATATTACTTGAGTGGGATAGAGTTGAATGTTCTGGATTTACTGACAGCCCTGTTCTTTACAGACTCTGGTCTATTAATGTTCAATGTAATTACAGTCACCGGGGACACCAGTATTTAACCTCCTGCAGTTCTCAAAATGACCATGAGGGGGACACTCAAAGACAGATGGCAACTGCAGCCTAGAGGAAACACGGAGATGGGGATGCAGTTCTGGGGTTTCCACCTCTGCCTCTGAGGACAGGTCTGAGTAGCATGTGACCTGAGGGGAGCAGGCTGCGGAGGACGGGGGACATGGGCGGCGCGCCCTGGCCAGGCCTCTGGCGGGCGAGGGCCGTGGTGGGCTCCCGGCAGGTGTTTCCCAGACGGCACCGAGGGTCCACAGGAGAACTCGGCACTGGCCCTCGGGCAGGGCTCGGGCCCACGGCATCACTTCCTGTTACTCGTCAGTGCGTCCCGGTGCTTTCCTCTCCTCTCTTGCCTTCTGACTACTCCCTTCTCCCCTCTCGTTTTGGTTACCTTAGAAATGACCTCACGCATCGCAGCTTTCCCGACCCTGTTCCTCCCACTGCATTTACTCTCTTCCTCGACGTCCCTGATCCACCATCGCAGCCCTGCACGTCCTCCACGCAGCTCCGAGGCCTCACAGCAGCAGGGAGGCTTCAGCTCCTTCTCCCCGTATCACGGGCGGCTCTGTGCTCATTGGCGCGTCTCCCCTTGGCTTCCAACCCGCACTGCACAGCTGCCCTCAGCCAGGGGCTCCTCCTGACTGGCGTCTTTATTTTGTCCTCTTCCGGGGGACAGAATCATGCTGCCAATGAGTTCTGCCAGCATGGCGGAGACACCGGCACCGCGGTCTGCGGAGATGAGAAGATGTCCGTCCCGTGTCTCTGCCTGTGCTGTCTGTCTTTCTGAAGTTCCGCTGCTGTGTCCCAGTGGAGAGTTCTCTGATTCACTGCCGAGATCTTCCATGCTTCTGGTTTGGTGATCTGCGTCTTTCTGAAGGAATCACTTCCCACGGCACTGCCTCTGCCAGGCCTCCAGCTTCCCTTTCCGCCGCTGCCGCGGTTACTCGGATGCTCCGTCTGCCGCCAGGACCTTGCCAGCTCGTCTGCATTTCCCATCCTCTGTTCTCCATGCTTCCTTCATCAGGGTAAGTTCTTCAGCTGTATTCTCATTTACTGACACCTTTCCAGCTGTCTAATGTGCTCGCAAACACAGTGCATCCAGTTACCATGGTTATTATAGTTTTTCATTGCAAGAAGTCTTATTTACTTTTGATAGCTTCAAGTTTTCTGAAAACAGATATATGCGTGTGTGTGTGTGTGTGTGTGTGTGTGTGTGTAGTGTATACGTACATATATATATATATATATATATATATATATATATGTATGTATATATAATGTATATATGTTTTTTTGGTACCAGGGATCAAACTCAAGTCCCTGAACTTGCAAGGCTGGCGGCGGAACCATTGAGCTAAATCCCCAGTCCCCTATTTTTGTCTTTTTCAGACAGGGTCTCACTATGTAGTTCAGGCTGGTCTTGTACTTACTATGTAGCTCAGGTTGGCCTCGAACTTTTGGCAATTCTCCTGCCTCAGCCTCCTGAGTGTTGGGATTACAAGCATGCACCACCTTGCCTGGCACCTGAAGATATTTTTAAACCTGTTTTTTCCACGCTGGTACAGTTTTTCCAGTTAATAATCGTATCTGGCACTGAGGACGTCTGCCCTCTGAGGTGCTGTTTCTACTGTCCACTGTTCCCATCTCTTCTAGTCTGTGGCTCCTGTGTCTGGTTATTTTTACTATGTGCTGGCTCTTGTAGGCAGGGTATGTGGCTAACATGAAGCCTTGGGAAAAAGTACTTCCTCTCCGTGGGATCTGCTCTCACCTCTGGCTGCTGGGGGGCCCCCCTGCGCCAGGCTTCATGCTCCAGCTTCTGGGAGGCTGGGCAACCCCGACTCCAGCTTACCCTGCATGGATCTGTGCGGCCTCATTGTGTCGCCTTGCAGGTACAGCCTTGCAGTCTCCTCTGGTCTAGACGGGCCTGCAGTGCGCTCTGTACAGGGAGTGGCCCTGGCCCATCCTGGGCTAACAAGACTCATTTTAAATGTGTCTGACTTGGCAGAAATTCTCAGGAACAGGTGGCTTTTGTGTCTGTCTGCCTGTCTGGTTTGGCTGTCTGTCACTCTTCCTGGTCATCCCTGTCGTCATGCCAAACTGGCAGTGACCGAAACCACTTCTAAATTGGGTCCAGTGGAAACAGTGATGCAAATCACCTGGCCGCTGTTGGTCAACGCAGAAGGCCACGCTGTGTCTGCTTGGAGCAGGGCAGGCGCTCCGGAGAGACTCCTGAACTAACTGGACGCTCACCACTTGCCCAGCAAGCTCAGTGTCCACCTGTCCCCTCTGAGCGAGCGCTTTGCCTTCCTGTCCAGCCCGAGGGTGCCACGCCCTTCCTGCAGCCGGCTTCTCCACAGGCTCCCCATTTTCCGAACACACCTCTTGCCCACGTGAGCCCTCCTAAAGCCCACGCACCACGCCCTGGGTACCTGGCGAGATGGGGCTGCACCCGGAAGGATACCCTCCTGCCCTCTGCTCTGTGCTCCTGAAACTGACTTGGCAGTCTCGGGTCTGGCAGTGAGGGACCCTGAAGTTCCGCACTGCAGGAAGTGGGGTTCGGTATGTTCCCTAACACCCCACCCTGGAACTGGGCCTCCCTCAGGAGAGCTGAGGGAAACATCACAGCCTCTGCTGCGGTGCTGCTGTCACCAGGACGCAAAGGAAAAGCAGAGGGACACAGCCAGACGCAAGTGGAGCCCACTGGGCCTCAGCACTGCTCCCGGCCGGAGCCCGGGTGAGCCAGGTCCCCACTGCTCCCAGGAGGCCCTGTACCTCTGCTGCGCTCACCTCACCACCTTGGTCCCGTTTCTCACCACCTGCACGTCCACCATGCAGCCCCCAGTGACGCAGGCAGCCAGGTTCAGCTCGGAGAACTCAGCCTGGAGAACGAGAGAGGAGAAGGGGCCGTCAAACTCGGGTGCATGACCACTGTCCAGGTGTCCCAGGGCACACTTACACCCCTCACCCAGCAAGGCCACCTGAGCCCCTCCAGACGGGAAGCAAACACAGGCGGCACTGAGGCCCGAGGTCAACCGGGTGAAAGACGACATCGCACTGAAACCTCGGCTCCCCGGGTCACAGGCCGGTGGCTCACTGTCACTTCCGACCCTGCCAGGTGGAGGAAGCCCTGGCTGCACGACCGTGAGGTGCCAGGCACCATCCACACACCGCCCCTCGCAGTGGCTGTCAGGCAACCACCCTCCCAGGCACGAGTCCCGGTCTGCGCCTCTGGCCACAGCTGGTGGGGCTGGGGTGGAGCCGGGGTGTGAGGATGAGGCCCCTCCCGAGGGCCCCAGAACCCCTCAGCTCCTTGCAGGGGCTGTGTCTTTAATGCACTCGTAGAACTGTGTTTTCTGCCAGCCGCAGAGAACCAGAGTGGAGACGGAAGGGGGTCACTGAGAAAGGCAAGACATGGGGACTCCTCCTGGGCCCGCACCATCTCCCGGCCGGCTTGGCTTTGAGTCCAGGTTGTTGCTTGTTTAGTTAAAACACAGATGAGCAGTCATGAGTTTCTGCTGCTTGCACCCCAGCCTTGGGACAGATAGGCTTTCTACCCCACATCTGTTTTGGCCGCCCGGGGCTACTGCGCAGGACCGGCACCCGGCGGCTCTGAGGATAGGACTGATTCTGTGCCATTCTGCAGGCTGGGGGTTTGGGATTTAGTGCTGGGAGGGCTAATTTCTCCTCTCCCACACTCTCCCGGCAGGTGACAGGCCGGCGGTCTTCCGCTCCTTCCCACGAGAGTCCCCGCACCCCCCTGTGGCCGCAGGTGCATTTGCACGCTCAGCAGTGACCACCTGGTCCCCTCTGGAGGAGCTGTCTCCAAGTACGGTCCCTTCACAGAGCTGATTACAGCTCCTGCAGGAGCTCGGGGTGGTGACAAGGGACCTGTAACGCTGTCACCGAAGGCCACGGGCGTCTCTGCGGCTGTGACACACAACTGCTCTCAGGTGTGAAGCACCGGTGTGCAACATGGCCGAAGCATCTGATGTGAGTGAGTCTGGAATCTTCACGGGTGCAGTGGGGAAGTGGAGGCAGGCAGGAAGTGGACGCCCAGCATAGCGTCACACGGCCCACACCCCACTGCCCACTGTCCGGCTGGATGAAGCCGTGGGTGGATTAGCACTGGGGCATTTAGGGACTTACAACAACCAGGTTGAAGAGAAAAATGAGTTCATGTGGACGGGAACTTAGGGCTGCTCAGAGTCGCTGAGCAGGGTCCAGAGCCAGGCCCGCCCCCGACACCAGCAGACTCGCCCGCCACCCCTTCGCCCTGCGGCGGGTAGAGGAAGCCCACTGTCGGCGGGTCCCAGTGGGCAGTGGCGATCATGACCTGTCCTCATGTCTACCGCCGCCTCCCGAACTCAGTCCCCTCGTGCTCAAAACACCCAACCGGCAAGACCGCCGAGAATGAAGCTGCTGGTGTGTGGCAGACAGAAGCTAAAGTTGCAAAGCAGGAGAGCTGGCCCCACAGACATGAGCTGGAGAGGGAGCGGATCAGTCAGGTGGGACCAGCACCTGGACAGGACCGGGTCCCAGCAGGAGGCGCCGGGGGAGGTTCGCCCCATCCAGTCCTTGTGGAGGCGGGAGCTGTGGTGCGGGCAGGTCCCGGGTGGGGTGACAGTACCGTCAGCCTCACTCAGGTCTGTGCAGCCGACCTCCGGCTTCCGCTTCAGGTCTCTGCGGCCCGACATCCTTCGGGGCAGTGCCTGCCAGCCGCCGTGGACAAATGCTCACTGGAGAGGCCTCGCCAGGGTGTGAGCTGAAGCGCTGCTTGACTCGCCACTGCGCACCTGTGTTCACGCTGCTGACACGGAGATGGTGCACCTCCCACCCCTCACCTCCACAAGTCTTCCTGAGGCTTTAGGGTTGTGTGTGACAGGCAACTTGCCCAAGCTGAGGCACGAGGGTCTCTGTCACTACTTGTCATGATATCTCAGCAGGAACAAACTGAAAGCACACAGAGCGGAGCAAGCAGAGGAACGGCAGCCCCTCAGGCTCTCGTATGTGAACCTAAACATACAGAGGCATAGAATGTGGAGGAAGGACTGTGTTTACAGCTACAATGAGGCAGCAAGGGTGACATTGGCCTGTCATCTCCAATGAGGAGGAAACCAGGCACAACAGGCAACGCATCAGCTTGTAGCCCTCACGCAGCAGCATTTGGGGAGGGGGACTGCAGCCAGGAGGAAGCAGGTGGCTGGTCCCAGCGAGCCCGGAGGAAAGGGGTCAGAAACGCAGCCCAGGTCTCACTGAGCCGAGGGCACGGAGCAGCACAGGACGGCTCTGCAAGTCCTTGCCAGCTAATGACCTAAGCATGAAGGGAAGGAAACAGCGGCTCTGCACCCAGCTACCCTGCTCCGGGCTGGGAGTCCTGTTCTCTCGGATCAGGGATGAAGATGTGTCATACCAGCAGGGCAGTCAAAACGGTGCTGAGACTAAGTACTCCCGAACCAAGTCCTGCCCGGGGAGGGCAGTCCGCTTGCCTGCTCTGTCCTGGGCTGCTCAGCCTTGGAACTGAAGTTCCCAATTCTCAGAGGCCCCACGTTCCCAGTTTTCAACTGAGTCCCACAGGCTGGGAATTTCTGTGATCCCAGACAGCTGGCATGACATTCACAATTTAAGTTAAGCAGTCGATCTCAGACAATAAGGCAGGCAGAGGCAGGAAAATACGAGTGTGATAAGGAGAAACTGGTCACCAGCGACACGTCCGGAAGTGAGAGAGGCAGCAGGAAGTTAGAACTATTACAGACGTCCTTCATGTTTTCTAGGGTACAGAGGGAGACTCTACTGTGATGAGGAGGAAGAGAAAAATATGTAAAAATGGAAAATGGAACTTGCAGAGATTAAGAAAACATAATATCTGAAATAGGACATGACTGGTGGGATTAGCAATAAATTCAAAAGCACAGAAGAAAATGCTGGTGGACATGGAGACAAAGCAATAAAAATGACCCAAAATGAAGCAGAAGCAAAAACACTTAAAAAAATAACAGGGTCCCTGTGAGTACAGAGTAACATCAGAGCCTCATATGGGAACGTTAGATCTCAGGAGCAGGGAGAAGGAGACAGAGACCCTTGAAGAGAAATGACAATATTTTCCCCAACTTGTTGAAAACTCAAAACCCACAGATACTAAATATTCAATGAACCCTAAGTAGAAGAAACAAATAAAAATCTCACAAGGTACAGAAAAGTCAGCTTCCTCAAAAAGCAGCAATGAAGTCAAAAATCCTCTAAAACAGTTATGGGGACAAGACACACTGTGCACAAAGAGGAAAAAGACAAGGGTGTCAGCAGCATCTTAGCAGAAAATGGCAAAGAGAAGACATGCAAGGACTCCTTTCAAAGACCGACAGAAAAAAATAAAACGCCAGCCCAGGATATTATTCCAGGAAGGCTCCCCATTAACAGTAAAGGCGTTGCCAAATAGAAGTTAGGACTGGCCTCAAAGCCCAGAAATGCTGTGAGGAGTTCTTCAGGGAGCAGGACGACGGTACCCTGTCAACGCGTGAACACCACCCTACGTAAGGCAAAAATGAGGGTAAACAGAAATCATTTTGTTTGAAAACTTCCATAAAAGACAATCAGTTTAAAGCAAATGTAGCACTGCATTATGCATTTATAGAAGTAAAACTGTAACAAGGACCCTGAGAGGGACTGGGCTGGGGAGTGTGCAGCCTGCCAAGCGTCCCCTCCTGCATGTGAAGTGCAGCGCAGGACCGGCAGGCGGCTGCCAGCGGAGCAGCACACACTGCCAACCCCGGAGCTGGCCTTGAAACAGGCACAGTGAGCATGAACTGTGCGCTGGCAGCTGGCAGAATTTACTCCACGTATGTTGGGCGACCGGTCCCCAGACCGAGAGGGGACATTTCCACAGCCACGGAGATGCCGCCCACCCCACCCAGACGGCCTCCTGACAGATGAGTGAGCTCGAGCGGAGCCTCAGAAGGCGCCTGCCCTGACCCTGAACTTGCCATCTCTCCTCGCTGCTCTCAGATGCATCCTCGCTGTGTGGCGAGCAGGACCTGTTTTTATCTCCCTATAGTGCTTTCTATCTGTGTGCATGACAACAGCAGCGTATTCCTTCTGCCCGCGGTGGACCCACGGCTCTTTCAGGAAGAGAGTTGCTGACACAGCGGTGCACCCTGTGCCCCGGGCGTATACCTAGGCGTGGCACTGCTCGGTCACAGGTGGGCAGATATTTGCCTTCAGAAAACAGGGATGAAGAACCCCCCAGGGCGCCTGGCAATCTGAAACACCTAACAGCGGCACGAGAGCCTCAGCTGCTCTGTATTCTTGACAACACACGCTGGTGTGGTCCACGGTTTTAATCTTGACTACTCTCCTGGGTTCTTGCAGTGGCAGTGCACTGCAGTTTTGCTTTGCATTCCTAGGATGGTGAATGATGCTGACATTTCACTGCCAATTACAAATCCAGGTAGCCTCTTTGGTGAAGTACTTGTGCTTTTATCCGTATTTGTATTTTGTGTGTGTGGATGTTTTGGTACCAGGGATTGAACTCAGAACCTTGCACTTGTGAGGCAGGCAGTGGCACCACTGAGCTAAATTTGTACTTTTGTTTATTCCTCTCATTACTCAGTAAGATGAATATAAAAATATAATCTTTTTTTGGTACCGGGGATTGAACTTGGGTCCTCGTGCTTGCAAGGCAGGCCACCGAACCGCTGAGCTAAATCCCCGGCCCCTAAAAATATATTCTTGATAGATCTTTTTGCTGAGTATATTTATTTCAAATATCTTCTTCCATTCTGTGGCTATTACTTTCATAATTTTTAAAAAAAAAACATACACACAGGAATGTATGAAGTACTATTTATTTATTTATTTTCCAGACAGGCTCTCACTGCGGAGCCCAGGCTGGCCTCGAACTCACAGCAACCCTCTAGCCTCAGCCTTTCTAGTGCTGGGATCACAGATGTGAACCACCACACCTGGCCTGAAGTACAATTTGAGAAGTTTTTAACTTAGCGTTTTCATTGCATTTTGCTTAGAATTTTGCCTATTGCAAGACTGTGTAGACATTGTCCAATATTTGTTGCTAAAAGCTTTGCTGTTTTATGCTTCACAGTGAAGTCTGGAGTCTCACCAGAATTAATTTTTAAATATATGATGGGACACAGGAACAGCTGAATTTGTCCACTTGGCTGTTCCCGCGTTTTGGCCCCCTGCATGGAAATGCCATTCTTCCTCAACAGAAACACACGGATGGACCTGCCAAACACCCGCCGCTTCGCTGTGGCGTCCGTCCCTCATTCTCTGACCGGTTGTCCCTGCCGAGCCTGTGCCAAGCTGTGTCAATGACTAGCTTCACACTGAGTCTGGGCATCAGGTGGTACCACAGTCCAAGCAGAAAGCAACCTACAGCAGCGCGGGACAGCAGGCTGAAGACAGTAGACCGTTCTGGTCAGCTCACCCTGAGGTCAGGTCGAAAGTCTCACACACCCACTCCAGACACACAGGCACAGGCACCCGGACTGGAGGCTCCGCCCCGAGTGAACGCCTCAGACTCCTCCCTTGTGATATGACCGGCTGCACATCCTCGACTACATCCAGTCTGGGTGACCCCTCTGCTAAGGAAAGGTCGCCACACTTGTGCACCCCTGAAGACTTCGCTCTGCTTACAAATGAGCTTCGAGTGTTAGGGTGCAGATCCAGGTGTCCTCCAAGGGCTCTGAGAAGGGTGCGGTATGCATCACTGGATGCATCCATGGATGGGCTCACAGCTACTGCTGTGAGGAGGTGGCCTGGTTGGGAGAGGTGGGTCGCTGAGGGGAGGGTATCCCCTCCTCGGCCCCTCCCTTTGCCCTTGCTTCCTGGCTGCCATGGGGCGAGCAGTCCTCTGCCTGGTGCTTCCCGCCAAGCTGTTTCTGCCCCGGGCCAACTTACCATGGACCAAATGCCCTAAACCGAAAGCCAGTTTAAACCTCTCCCCCTTCTGAACTGTGGCTGTCAAGTGTTGTGTCCAGGACTGGGAAAGCAGACTAATACACTGAGTCTCAGCCCAGTTCTAAGCACAATTATTTTAACTCATTTTCCACGTTGCTGTGAACTTGAAGTGACTATCTCATTTGTATTATTTTTGCCTATTTTTTGCCATTGGGGGCAATTAAGAGCTTGTTTTCTTTATTTTCAACAGGAAAAAGTCTCCTCCACTATACTGCTCGGGAAAATAAAGATTAATGGCATTTAATTTACACTGTCAAGATTCTGCCTTAGGGGGAAAATGCAGGTCATATACTTATAAGCTATTACCTGGGGACACCAATAAAGCTAATTCTCTGCTCCATACAGATGGGCTATGTACAGTATAAAAAGGCTCTTGCTATTTTTTTGTTGTTTTGTTTTTGATTTTTTGAGACAGGGTCTCGCTATGTAGTTCAGGCTGGACTTGAACTCACTATAGAGCCCAGGTCGGCCTTGAACTTGCAGGGATCCTCCTACTCAGCCTCCTGAGTGCTGGGATTTAATTCAGGCATGCGCCCAGATATCTTCCTATTTTGTGCTACTCCAGTTAAAACCAGCTAGGGAAGATTTCTGACACTGTTTCAAATGATAACTGAAAGTACTGGACTGAGTTTCTTGCTTGTTTCAAGTTTTTACTAAACATGTGCACAAAAAAACGACAGAGGTGTAGAAGAGACTGGTCTTGATTCGGGGACCAAGGATCTCAATCTTGGATTTAACTCCGACTTACTGTATGGTGTTAGGAAACCTCTCACCCTCTCTCCTCAATTTTAATTCTCTTCATTTCCAAAATGCAAGGGCTATGATCAATTGAGGCAATTGTCTCCATGGCCTCTTTCTTGTTTATTTCTATTTATTTCACTTTTTTGAGGCAGGTACTTGCTAAGTCATTCAGCTGCCTGGGCTGGGCTCCCACTTGCCACCCTCCTGACTCAGCCTGCTAGATGGCTGGGATCACAGGCATGCATCTCCATGGCTGGCTCTTTCTCAGTCGGTTTCCTCTGATTAACACCAAACAACAAAATCTATTTTCTCAGCATACCTCTGGGAAGGGAATGCTGAACAAGAAGACTTTTTACAGGGCAGCTTACACCCAGTGCCTGGCACACAGGAGGCGCTGAACACTGTGACAAGGGCAGTGATGGCGAAACCTGAGGTCTGGTGGGGACTCAGACGCTTACAGGAAGTGGGGGAGGTAGAGCAGACTCTGTGAGAGGGACAAGGGCTGGAGGGCTGGGATGCACGGGATATCAGAGAGCCAGGGCACAGCACAGGGCGGGGCAGGGCCGGGAGGCCAGGGTCACGGTGAGGATGGAGGGTTTCACTCTGCAAGAGCCCTACAGCATTAGCACTCACATCCCCACTGCATCAGACCTCTTCACCCTGCCAAGGAAGACGACCGCCCCCCATCATGGCAGAAGTCAGGGGCTCAAGCCCAAAAAATATCAAAATACCACCAGGAGATGCAACGGGGTGACTTTAAGGATTTTCTTCATGGCAGAACCCGGGGTGCTGAAGTGGTGCTTGGTGCTGGCAGAGACCCAGGCACCCCCGATTCTGTCCCAACGCCTCCTTCCTGCTCAGGGCCCCAGGATGCTGAGTTCACAATAGCGTCAGAGAACCAATGGCTCAGGATGTGCTCTCCCTACACAGGGACTTCAGGCTCACTGAGCGGGGACGGGCACCTCCGCACCTCCAGGGTCCAGGGGGGAGATGGTGGGTGCTCAGCTCAGCAGCCGAGAACGTGAGTGATCATGGCCCTTGCTCTTGCTGCCTGTGCTCCGGGCTCCCCATGGGGCCAGGATGAGCAGGGCAGGGACACGGGAGCACGGCTGGGGGGAGGAACCGGGACAGCCGGGCCCAAGTCTGGGGCTGGACACAGTGGGTGGCACCGTGGGCCGTGGCCAGGCGTGGGTGGGTGGGGTGATACGGAGCCTTCGTCTGTCCTGGAAGGATGGAAACTACACTTTATTTATTTATTTTTTGAGACAGGGTCTCACTATGTAGTTGAGAGTGACCTGGAACTCACTATGTAGCCCAGGCTGCTCTCAAACTCACAGCCATCCTCCTGCCTCAGCCTCCCCGGTGCTGGGATTACAGGCCTGCGCCACCATGAAAGTGAACTTCTAACGCAGGGCAACATCTGGTCCTCAGAGCTCTCCTTCCTTTTCCAGTCTTTGTTTTCTATTTTCTCCCTCCTCTCCCCTCCTCCCTGCCTCCCTCACTCCTGTTTCTCTCTGTACCCTCATCTTCCCCTCCCAGCCCATCTCTCCCTCAGCCTGTGACACCGCAGAGTCCCTGCCACTTCCTGCGGGCAGCAGAGGCTCACGGCTCCTTCCCTGGCCTCCCTGCTCCTGGGAACCTCCCCGTCCTGGACGCTATCCTCTCACCTTGTCCCCTCCTGACCCCTCGCCCGGTCTGCACCTCCACAGGGGACCGGCCACTCCTGCCAGCAGGGCCCAGGCCACATGAGCAGGCCGAGGCTCAGATGGGGACCCTGCTGCTCTGCTGCAGCCTGGCTCTGGGGAGGGAGCTCCTGGCAGGGGAGGAGAAGGTGGCACACGACAGGGCAGTCAGTGTTCAGGGTCTCGAGGAGGCAGCGGGTGCTTCCCAGGGCGCTTTGAGCAAAGAACTACAGCCCAGGGAGGGCTTGAGCCACTTGATGCCCAGGGAAAAGGGCCCAGGCAGAGGGGCAGCAGGAGCAAAGGTCCTGGGGTGGGCCAGGTGGGCTGGCCCTAGGGCAGAATGCCCACACCAACCGTTTTAGTTACTTGCAGTGTATGAGTTAGTGGCACTGAGCAGTCATATCGCTGTGCAGCCCACACTGCCATCCTCTCCAGAACTCTTTCCTCATCCGCAGCAAAAACACTGCACCCATTACACGATCCCTGTGCCAGCACTGGGTGACTTCTCTTCTCTTTCATGCCTCTATGGATTTGCCAACTCTGGTACCTCAGGTAACTGGAATCAGACCTGCCCTGGGGCCTCGGTCCACGTGCTCACCTGGACGGCACTTCCGCGGCTCGTGGGCGCAGCATCCTGTCTCCCTTTTTGAGGGCCGAGGAGCACTCTGCAGCGCAGTCACACTACATTCTGTTCACGCATTCACCTGTTGATGGCTACTTGGCCCGTTTGCAGCTTCAGGCTGCTGTCAGGGGTGCTGCTGTGAGCAGTGTGCAGAACTCTGTTCAGACCTCACTTAGCGGTGGCAGGACTGGATCATGTGGTAAGTCTACGCCTATTTTCTGAGGAAACAGCATAGTGTTCTCCACAGGGGCCGCGCCTTCCCCTTTCCTGCCGGCCGTGCATGAGGGGCCCGGTCTCTGGTCCCTCACCACACTTGCTGTCTTCTGTCCTTGATGTGCCAGTCGGGTGCTGGGTCAGCGTGAGACAGGAAGACGGGCCACGCCCCACCTCTGCCCACAGAGGACCGCGGCGCCCACCAGGAGGGTCCTGGTCGCCGAGCAGTGAGCCAGAGCACACACATGCCCAGAACGCAGAGCAGACCCGGTGCCGTCCCTGCTCGCACACCTGGCCGGAGGCAGCCTAGTTCCCCGGCACCCAGGCCTCCCAGGGCCGAAGCCTGGCTGAGCTCCACTTCCTGGGTTGGTTTCTGAAGCTACCGAGCAGCCCGAGGCCCCATTTGCTTCTAGTCTTGTCAGAGGGCACCATGTTCTGGAGCCTGTGTAAAATTACAAACCACAGAGCTGGGCTTGGTGGCGCACGCCTGTAATCCCAGCACTCAGAAGGCTGAGGCAGGAGGATGGCTGAGAGTTTGAGACCAGCCTGGGCTACATAGTGAGTTCCAGGTCAGTCTCAACTACATAGTGAGAAACAACAACAAAAAATAACATACCACAGAGTTTCTAGACAGAGGAGGAAAGGCCGGCCTCCACCATGCAGCACTGGTGTTTATTTTGGAGCAGGCACCGGGGGTTCGGAGATGAGACTCGCCCTTTTCTCTTTCCCCTGACTTGTAGCACCCCAGGGCTTCTGCCCCAGCCCTCGGGGCCTCTCAGTTTGCAGGGCTCATGAAAGGCAGGCTTGCGGGGCCCCTCTCCTCTCTGCAGGCAGGTGCTGCTGTCTCCCCTCAGGGACTGGTACGGAGGCTCCTCTCCTCCCAGACAATCACTTCCTCCTGAGGCCCCTTCTCAGCCAGCACAGCTGGACAGCGCCTCAGCCCAGTGGGGTGTGTGAGGCAGTGTTGGGGCACAGGACCCTGCCATCAAGAAGGACCTCTGTCCACACCCGTGGGGCCAACTATGCCTGGCCTGAGGTGCCACCTGCACATCCAGGGATCCCTGGGCTGTGAGCCCCTCTGGCCCCACAGGCTTGGGGATGAACTTTACCCGTCCCCTCATCCTCAGAACGTCACACCCTGGGCGAGGGCAGCCTGGACAGAGCGTGCAGGAGGAGTGTGGGGGCCCAGCCTTGGCAGCCCGGTGGTGACAGCCGTGCCATCTTCTGCACCTTCACACTTGCTTTGACTCTAAGGGCCCGGGTGAACGCGTCTTCCTGTGGGGACAACGCCAGCCGTGGTGCAATAATGACTTGAGCACGCCTCTGCCGTAACAGCTTTAAACTGGAGACAGTTCCTGAGGCAGGAACAACGTGCCAGGCACTGTTCCACCAGCTCAGCACTCTGACAGCGGCCGGACAGGAGGGTCGCCTCGGGCAGGGAGGGTAAACGCATTCTGCAGCTGGGCGCTGAGAGGAGATACCTGTTGAATGCTCCAAGGTTCCGGACCTTCTGCTGAGGCACCCAATGCAGCTTACTTTTGTCTTTTATTCTGCCATGTACTGGATTTACAAGAGATTTGGAAACTGAAGAATTCTCTTTAGAGAGCCAGCGGGTGGGCCAGGGTCGTAACCATACCTGTCCTGCGGGCGTGCCCTGTGTGCGCCCGCCCCGTGTGGTACGTGCAAGTGCTTTCTGATTCTAGGGCGCTTCCTCCACTGTGCCTGACTCGCACCTGTGTCATACTCATCTGTGAGTCAGGCCCAAGATGAGACCACCTGGCACCTTTGAGAAAAGTGGGGTCCTGGGGTGTGGGGTCCCATGGGGAGCCATAATGTGGTCAGAGGCCTGGGAGCAGTACCACCTCCAGAAGCTCCTAGTGGTGGGATCTCAGAGAACGCACAGAAACTGTGCCTCAGGGCTCCTCTGTAGGAAGTGGGCGGCCCTGCCCTGCCTCTGTCCTCTGCACAGGGCTGGCCAGAAGTGGGGCATGGGGTTTCTCCCAGGGAAGCCCATGCCTGCCTTCCTGTGTCTCACACAGGGCCTCAGGCCCTGTCCCAGGCCTGGTCTGGGTCCTTCTGGGGGACA